ACTTTCCTCTCCTCCTTCGAAATCTAAATCTGACTCCTACATTGCTGATATGGTGACAACACGACACACGGTCTACGCTACGCAGGCAATGTTGGTCGAACACTTGAAGCCTTCTTATACTCTACCTTTAATGGTCAAGTTTCACAACCATGTAGTAGAAAGGAGCGAACTGCAGCGCAATACACTCCGCCTTCAATAGACAATCAGGTATTACGCTAGCCCATAAATGACGTAACTCTGCGAAACCCGATACAGCTTTTTGGTCAGTGGACAGGTTACGTCAGCTATCAACCCACTTGCCGGGGCTGGTCAGCACGTTTGATCACTTTCATACCGATTTCCAAACAAGGCCCACCACAAACAAGTTTTGGAGCAACTTTTTGGATTTACGGGGCGAGAAATGAATCCCGAACATTCTCGAATTGCCATACAAAGTGCCCAGAAGACTCTGCATCTTTTTAGAGTTTTAGTATAACAGGACCATGTTGTCTGATTACTTTAGATATATCGAAGATTCTCTTTTGACAAGATTAATCCCGGTGAAGCTACACGACGACAGAGAGACCTCGACAAGAACTTACATGATAAAGCTGAACAGGAGTGGAAAGAATGCGAATCCATGACGGATACCACTTAATGTACACAGCTCATCTGAAAACTCACCATACGTTCTAACACATTCACACATGTTCCAGTAAAAACAACTATACACAGTGGAAGCACTCAATCAGCACTACTTTCACTGACAGACACTGCCGTAAAACCCCTCGATCAACACAGCCAAACACCACCTTCAGGTCGAGAAATACAGCTAGTATCAGGCATCGGTGAGTGTGTCTGTCTTCCAGAACCTGGCGGAGTGTGAATATTTGGTCGATACACCCTCAGCTAAGTCTAAAACCTGTCTAGTTTTCTCCAGGTTGCTATTTCCGAGCTCCACTCAGTCGCCTAATGACCACAGAATCCTAGACAATACGTTTGCTAGCCTCATTCCACTGTAGTTATCACACGAAGATATCTCACCTTCCTTGAAGACTGGGACCATCAGTGGTTGAGACCAATCAGAGGGAATCGTATCTGAATCCCACACATTAGTTAACTTGACGAAACATTCACTACCACTCTCCTCATATACCTCTGGAACTAGTCTACCTGGCTCCGCTGCCGTTCCTCGTTCTCGGTTTCCTACACTTTTCTCGACTTCTACAAGTGTTGGGGATCCTATCTTGATGTTTCTATTCCGGTGCCGACCGGATAGCGGCCAATGCAACGCAACATAATAGTAGCTGTAAGCCAGTTATACTGTTCCTCAAAGTCTTCTGTCTATCATTCCTGTCGTCTCTCCTGGGAGTGAATCGTAGACACATCCTTCTTCTTCATTGTCCCACTAAACATTGACCTTTTCGCTTCAGTTTTCTCAATAAGTCTAAATAACTGTCTACTGCTACCTATCACAGCTGTCTCTCCTATTTCTTTAGCCTTCGCTGCTCACCACCGTTCGTGGTCGTTGCGTAGACTTTCTGTCAGTCTACCTTCGAGCTGCATTCAATTCCTATATTACTCGGGACATGTAGGGATGCTTCCGCTTGCTCCCATCAATTCAGAAGAGGCTGCTGATATCCGCTGGCTCCTCTTAACCACTCTCTCAGAGTCGGCTAAGGTCTTCAAGGCTGCTTCCTCAGTAAACAAACTGGAGATGGCACCAAGCTTCTTCTGAATGCGTGGTAGTGTTCTGTTCCACTTTCTCACTGAAAGCGGCCGGAGTGCTCTCTTTGTTGGACTGTACTTGCGATGGTTTTGCTGCTAAGTCTTTCTTACATCCAATGAGGCGGAGACATACATGCACTCGAACCAACGCGTGGTCGCTATCCAAACACGTGCTCTAGAAGGGGAGGCACGCTTTCACCAGCCATCTCCAGCAATGAATACTTGCAATATGGTCCATCTGTGTTCAGCCTGACTGGGTAGAGGTCGGTGGACACCATGTCACACAATGACTCTCTGTATGTCTGAAGTTTGTGCTGGCTAAAAACCAAAGGCTGTCTGCGAACAGTTTCAGCAGGCGATCACTGTCATCCATTCGTTCAGCTGGGATTCCAGAAGTGTCATCCAAATACCGTCTCTTCCGACTACACCTATTACTCACTTATGCAGTGAAATCATCTACAACAACCACATCTGAATATTTAGCTTTCAGAAAGAGGCTAAACAGTTCTCAGTAGAACTCATCCTTCACTTCATGCGAACTGCAGTCAGAGTGTGCGTAGGCACAGATTACAAAGAGACTACAACCTTTTACTACTTCTCTTTGTCCTCACACTGTGCCATTCAGTCGAACAACACATAGGCGTCTGTTAACTGAGATCTAGTCGAGCAATGAACTCTCTGTCGCAATGCTCAAGACCACGAAAACTAGCCATCGTTTCCCCAGAAACTCGAAGCGTGTATTTTACAGATTCATCATATTGGCCGGGTGAGGTTAAGTGAATAACCACACTTGGGTCCTGTATACATGTCTCGCAAACACAGCATAGATCTGTGATGCCAGATGCCAGAGTTTTGGTCAGTAAAGCTTGTTGATTGATTTGACGGAGAGGGCCCAAAAGCAGTTTGGAGAGCGTTTTAGGAAACCAGTGACATTGTTTCGTCAACTCATATCGTTGTCGAGTCGCACAATTGGGAAAAATTAGAGATAATGTGGGATTTCTGACTGAGAGACGTGAAGAAAGATTAGAAGTTGAGGATGTAGGAGGTGGACAGTGGTTTGAGGGAACTTCAGTACTGACAAACTGAGGGCGGTCGGCACTTACCGGTTGACCACGACGTGGAAGGCCAGATCTTCGTCAGATACCTGAGAAAGAAGGGATAGTGTGTGACTACAGAGCACAAGGGACATCTGCTTGGGGTTGGTCACACACAGTTTTTTTGAAAGTTTGATATTTTCGTTTGTTGCATTTGTACCCAAATATGAACTCATGTCGCCGAGGCACCGGCATATCGCAAGGGTGATAAGAGTGTGATATTTTGGGAGCCAACATTTACTAACTCCTTTTCCCATATGGAAGGCAGCATCAGTGTGGCACCGCTAGTCATCTAAGGGAAACACCTTACTGCTGTCACAACCTCGTCCATCTACCAGTATGACTGTCTTTAGACCCGCATCTTAGCGTAGTAACTTACACTACAGTGGTAAATGCTTTTTTTCTAATCCCTGTCCAACTTACGTTTCTGACATGATAGAATGTCGGAGAAAGCGTTTCACCAGCATAGCTCGTTCGGTCACCGGGATATGCAGACCGGACTGCCAGGTCACGGTAGCATCTATTGGTTGGGAAGCAGATTTATGTTGAAGTTGGCAGTGGCTAAAAACATTCAACACGTTTCTTGAACTTACTAATCAATGAAAATTAACAAATATATGATCCAATTTCCTTTTTCACTTAACAGTTTGGTAATCATACACTTTGAGCATTGCAGAAGTATATTGTTCGACCGGTGTAAGTAGTTGGCTGTTTTATACAGGATTAAATCTAATATGCTGCTTAGATAGAACTCCTTCAGTCTACAGTTTGAACGTATACACAAATCAGATGTAACGTATAATTAATCAGTAATAAGTAATGCTAACTAAAAGCACTTGATTTCCTGTTATTTTATTGATTTCTGATCTCGTCTACTTATCATTTGAAAGCTGCTTATATTTGCCAATTAGAAAACCTAAATCAGTAAATACATTTACCCCTACCTTGTTCTGAATCAATTTCAAAGGTAGAATTTACAGCATCATTTAATAATTGATATCGTCTTGCAACACGAAGTTTGATGGCATAAAAATGTATTACTCATGCCGCCCAGGTGGTTCTGATATTACTCGCAGTCTCCTAGACGCGGCTGGGTGGGATAAATGGTCTGTGTGAAGTTGTTGGATGTGAGACACACATGTTAAGTTAGCATCTACTTATGCATCACGACTCAATAAGAAAGGACCAAACATCTCTGAGACAGGGTTTAGAAAATAACCCATATTTTTTCATAACTGAGACTAGTAACGACCATTGGGCGATTTTCTAGTGTCGTTTGATTTTGAAAAGTCATTCAAAAGTAGTCAAAGCTTTTTGAAGGTATCTTACGGAACCGGATCTAAGTTTCTTTCTCTTTTACCTCTTTATTTACGTCAGTGTTTCTAAATTAATTTGCATAGTGCGTGTTGCATCGAGTTTGTGTTTAACATAAAATAAGATCTACTCTATAAGTGAATGGTTCTCCCTGACCGAGCGCAATAAAAATAGGATTGTCATTAAATGTTAGCTCAACTTCAGGAACTACAGCTTATTTAATAGGGAAGTGATTAAGTTAAAAAACTAGTGTTCATCAATCTACAAAAGGATTTTTGCTAAAAGACTTGTACACAAAATAGAGATCTACTTGAAAATTTTGCATAAGATTACGTAGACCTAAAGCTTTTACAACTAACAGTTACTAGATCTGTCAAACGTGATAGTTCTAGTGTACCTAAAAATATTGTGTGGCACAGAAATGCCATTATTTAACCACGCATAAAGTAAAGATGTCCCAATGTCCGCACTCAATAACTTAAACAATCAAGTCTGCTCTAGTTAGTTACATATGAGGTTAGAGGTGAAAGTGTTACGACTCTCTGTTTTGTCCATACGAAAAAGTAAAACTAGGAGGACTCCCGTATTAGTGAGAACACTCCAGAATTACTGAAATGACTTTTTGAAATGATTACACTATGTATTGGAATGAAACAAAATAAACCCTGACAGTCTGAGCTTTTAAACAGCTTCAAATGTACATTACTAACTGGTCGCCTATATTTATAATTATTGATAGAATGTAGCGTTAAAACACTTCACAGTTAACTGAGACGACAGAATACGTCACTTTAGGAAATATCAATACAAGCTATGCATGGTTATTTGAAATGAGATTCTTGGCAAATCAAACTGAAAGCAGGTAACACAGTAATATAAACGTACTTTAAATTTCACACTAGAAGTGGTAGGTCTGATAGTGTTGAAACCATTGAAAGGATCCATGTAAATGGTGAACGAAAGGGAAATCGACCATTCTCAGCATTAACATCTGAATCAGTGACCTTTTGAGATGATGAATTCAGTTTAGAATCTTCATGATATTTTGGAATCTTACTGGATTTTGATGCTAAAATATTATTCATTGTCTTTTCGAAGTTTTTTGATGACGTCACCTTGTTTATTGCAAACATTAACAGTCCAGTGGCTATTATTAACAAAACCATAGAGATTTTCGTCTTTCGAGTCTGTAAATCTGTGCTTAAAGGTCTGTGAGTCAATTTAGAGACAGAAAAGTAAACGGATGCAGAAATTAATGCTTGTGTTAATTTATTGAAAAAAAATGACAGTTCTACTACTACTATTTTGAATCAATAAAAAGGTGAAATCGCCAATGTTCCAAGGTAGGAAATACTATTTAAATTTGCATAGTTTACTACGAGATAAATAACCAAACCTTCTCAAAATAATGTGCAAACAGAGATAAACAAGGGAGGATCTACTATAACTGCTTACTGGTTCAAGTTGTCTGACCCAGATCATCAGATGGATTGGAAATCGAAGTGAAGAACAATAATTAGGTAAAAATCATATCCGCTATCGTTAAAGCGATCAGGTAAAGAGAAAATGAGATATGTAGTGATAAGAATAGGATTTATGTGAAGATTTCTGAACGCATTTACGCCGATATATATATCCGATTTGGTACCGTAGCAACTTAAGTCTATGACCGACTGAAACCCAGAAGTCTACACTTACTAACACTGCAAAGTCGATAGTTAGAAATTGCGCAGATTAATACCACATCTTGGTCTGATCGTCCTTATCTTTTCTCTATCCTAAACCTATTTTAGCTACCCATCAGTCATCTAAAATAGATACACTAACAGATACACTAATAACCTCAGTCAACTAAAGTTTATATTCTTAGAAATCGGTCTGCCTTTTTGACCTAGTACGCTATAGTAACTCTAAATGTGAGCGTTGTCTCAAGGTTGGAAGTAGCCGCATATAAGTAACCTTTAGGAATTCAACCTTTATTGGTTGTACCAAGTCCATATAGCAGGTTAGTGCATACGTGAGGAGTACACTAGATTTTTAACAGACGTTCGTGTAACTCCTAGTGTAACCAGTAGTGCAGGTCAGAAATAGTCACTAGAGCCTATCGTGTTTGTATCAAGACCTCATCAGATATCAAACTATCTGATAGTTGTTATATCGTGTTAGTTGGGAATCTATGTCACAATGATCCAATGAGTTATGCTGGCCAAAATGATTGTTTTTTAAGGATCTATAATGTTTGAAAGGCCTGTTGGGTAGTGTCAGGACTAAAAGCACTTACTCTCGTAATGTAAGCAGCTACACTACATTGCTGATCTGAGGGGTAAGTGATAATGTTGGCTGTAGCAATAAATCGGTAAATCGGACAAAAACAAAATACCAGCTTATTAGAAACAAATTAATTAAAGAAATCAACAAGTCCAAATAAAAGGAAACCCTCGAGGTAACCAAGGAGATCATCGATTCAATTAGGGAGGTGACTTTCAGTCAGTGGGGCCACGGGTTCGAGTTCCACTCCACCTACCGAGGTTTGGAAGGCCAGGTAGTATCATTAGACTTAACACAATAAGTGTGGCTCATCCCCCTACGAATGTGCACGTGGTTGCTAAGTGCATACATAGAAACTGCCGCATAAGTAACCACTCAATACAAAAGGAATCCCTCAATCCAGCCAAATCCAACCGGCCAACAGTAAAAAAAGACCACCCCCTTAGTTGGAGCAAACCAGCCAACCAGCGTTAAATACCCCCCCCCCCCGCCTAAAATACATACCAGCCAGCCAATCAATCAAAGCAACATTCGCCAGTTCACTAAAAAAAGTGAGTCAAAAAGTGGAAGGATTCGCACAATTGTGATCGATTTCCAGCTGCTTTCAAAAGCGTCCGGCTGTTGATTCCTATTACCTCCAAGATCCCACCTAGGTAGTCTACGCCTTTGTAAACAGCTTAGCCCAACAGTCAAAGACTTTACGAATTAATGCCACTTCTTGACTCAGCTATTCTTAACCTTTCTCCAATCCGATACTACTTTGGTTAACAGTACATGTTGAGGTAAATGGCTGCTGGGTATGAACAACACATGTTCAAGCCAGTTCAGCCAGTGAAAGTTTACCACTTCATTCAATTACTCGCCTTTCTTGGTCAGTATGCTTCATCTAAAACCGCTCACACGGTAATTCCACCACACGTAAGTAAACAACGCTGAGAAGACAGCTGAAGTGCAAAACGTGTAATCCCTTCATATCTTTTACTTTCTGGATTCGTATCTCATAGCTGCATAATAGGAGAGAGCAGATTGTAGCATAGTAAATTCATTCCTTACCGGTCAGTCGGATATCTCGCCAGCGATAACGCAAGTTGTTAAGTGAACGTCGTGCATTTGAGCAGAGACTTTGCTGAAGCTTGTTATACGGCTGTGAAACATGGCCATCAAAAGTATAACATATAAAGTAGTTACAAATCTTTACAACACTGGTGTATGGTGGACTCACCACGTGAGAAATGTAGAAGTTGGGCGAAGGGTAATATGCGAAGAAAGCAATGCAACAAATTAACCTTCGTCGACTAACGAGGCTTGAACATGTACTTCGCATGCCCAGCCACTACGTATTTCCACGTTACGCACAAAGAGAAGTTTGATTAGGTTGGAAGAGGGGTCCGAGAGACCAGACTAAGACGTGGTACCAGCCCATAAAGTCTCCAAATGTCGGTGTGTCAAGTCGGGAGGTGAACAATACTTCGCTGGAGACGCTGAGACGATAGGAATCAGTGGATGAGGGACTGTTGGCGAAATGGCTGAATTCGAGCAAAAAAGCGTACATACATTTATACTTTGATGTATTCTAAGGCTAGAATGTTTCCACTAATTTTAATTTTCAAACTGTTTTCCCTCCTATACAGTTTTCGAATTAATATCAGTCCTTTTCTGTTCACCTTTCTTCTCTGCACTACTATGAGACGCGGCATATTGAACTCAAACATTTGTGTGTGAGATTTCACGTTCATTTCGAATATTCCTTTATCCAAGCAGAGATTTCGGCAACATCCAGTCCGTTCGGATTGATGCAGTTCACCGGGTAAGGAAAGTGGTCAACTCATTCAACTACTTCATTACATCAATAAATTGGGAGCAGCTGCATCACCTTACAGTTAACAGGTGCGGAGCGCGCGCCAAACACACTTAGACTTCTGCTGGGTATGTTCCGAAGACCCTTTATTTTATCAGCGGCTTCGCCTAACAGGACAATGTCATCCGAGTACTCCAAGTCAACCAAATACTCTCCAGTGAGTAGACCAATCTCCATGAAGTCACAGGCATCTAACGCTATGTCAATTAGTAAGTCTATAACGAGAATGGGGACAGTAGGCAACCCTGGTGAACAGAGGCTGGTTATCGCCACTCCAGTCAACAACTCTCTATAAGTCCTAATATGGCTGTGAGTTCGAGTAGAGCTTTGATTAGCGTTGCATACTTCCTCATTATTCCCTTCACAATCAGACACTGACACAACACCTCAGTCGACAGAGTCCAATGCCGCCTTCAGTTCAAGAAGTATAGTAAGTGTCCGCTACAGGTTCTGTGCTCCAGAATCTGTCGAAGGTCGAAAATCTGGTAGGTGCACCTCCAGGTCCAGGTCTGAAACCCACCTGGTTTTCCCGAGTTTGTTGTTCTCCAGCTTCAGTTAGGCGTCGGATAACTATGAACCCAAGGGTCTTGGACATAATATTAGTCAAACTGATTCCCTTATGGTATTTACAAGAAAACACTCTAAGTAGTTAGTTTTTTCTGTTGATCACAATTAATTAACCAGAAAAGAAACTTAACTCAGATAGAAAATAAAGCATTGTTTTAACAAGACTTCTGTTCGTATTTGCTCCTTTTTAGGATTGTTAGAACTGTTATATCGGTGTCAACTAATTAAGTACGCTAGATTTGCAGTACCGTTAAGTAAATAATCGATTTTCGCGATCAAAATAAGTCTCAATATCAATATTCAGTCATATTCTACTTCCTTTCTTCTGTTATTAGTCAGACAATGTAATTGCACAGGCTAAAATAGTCAACATGGAATTCAACTGATTCGGATAGTATGTACAGCTTAAACAACCAATCAATACGCCCATCATGTTAAAATTCGTATCTTTATGTAACATTTTTTATTTGTTGACCAAATAAAATACTTTTTATAGATTTTACTAAGTTACTTACAAATCAAACACATCAATGGGAATACGATCACTTTCTTCTATGCCCCACATATCTTCTAGGAATCGCAGTTTCTTCAGAAAGCCTTCAACAGTTGTCGACAGCGTTAGAGTGAACTATAGAAAATTATGCACGATAACAAAGAAAGATTATAATTTTCATCAGAGCGAGTGTGTCAAGCAAGAAAAGTTGCAGAATCTTCAAGTAAAGAAGCAGAGTAATTTTTTTAACACTGGACTGCCGTTGATAACGAATCACAAGTAAATAGTGTAACAAGACAATTGGTTAAAAATGCATATGAAACTTGGTCACACGAAATCTAGTAAGTTTGTTACAACTTTTAAATTAACTGGGATGGTCGATGTAAGCGCACACTTCACCGAGCCCTGAAACACGACCAACTGATTAACAGGCGTAAGAAGTAAATGGAATACTTTTTGGCACCAAGACAATTTTTAAAAGACAGTCTTATCTATTCGTCAATTAAGGTAAAAAAAACAGGATCTAAATTAACTAAGAGTCTTCGTAATGCCCAGGAGCAGTGTTGGGTGACGAAACTGACAGGGGTGGAGAAGATATCAGTACTAGGCAATACTCAGCAATTATTTAGGCTTATTAAGGACGCCGAGAAGAAGAAGAGAAAAGTTAGTGAAGCCACCGCCGAAAACGATGATACCGTGATAACCTTCCAGGACATACGGCTTAACACTTTGGGTCTGCCAAATCTCCTCAAAGTTGAAGATGTTATTTCAAACCTGAAACGATTAAAAGCAGCAGAACCTGACAGTTCGCCACCCGAGGTTTTAGAGGATGGAGATAGAAAATTACTGAATAACGGAGGTAATAAGCAGTGTAAGACAGCCAGAGGTATTCCGGTCAGACTGGTTTACTTTGTTCATCATTCCAGTGTAAAATAGCGGAGATAAGTCTTCTTATGACAATCATAGGGGAATCAGTTTGACTAATATTATGTCCAAGACCCTTGGGTTCATAGTTATCCGACGCCTAACTGAAGCTGGAGAACAACAAACTCGGGAAAACCAGGTGGGTTTCAGACCTGGACCTGGAGGTGCACCTACCAGATTTTCGACCTTCGACAGATTCTGGAGCACAGAACCTGTAGCGGACACTTACTATACTTCTTGAACTGAAGGCGGCATTGGACTCTGTCGACTGAGGTGTTGTGTCAGTGTCTGATTGTGAAGGGAATAATGAGGAAGTATGCAACGCTAATCAAAGCTCTACTCGAACTCACAGCCATATTAGGACTTATAGAGAGTTGTTGACTGGAGTGGCGATAACCAGCCTCTGTTCACCAGGGTTGCCTACTGTCCCCATTCTCGTTATAGACTTACTAATTGACATAGCGTTAGATGCCTGTGACTTCATGGAGATTGGTCTACTCACTGGAGAGTATTTGGTTGACTTGGAGTACTCGGATGACATTGTCCTGTTAGGCGAAGCCGCTGATAAAATAAAGGGTCTTCGGAACATACCCAGCAGAAGTCTAAGTGTGTTTGGCGCGCGCTCCGCACCTGTTAACTGTAAGGTGATGCAGCTGCTCCCAATTTATTGATGTAATGAAGTAGTTGAATGAGTTGACCACTTTCCTTACCCGGTGAACTGCATCAATCCGAACGGACTGGATGTTGACGAAATCTCATTTCTGATACAGAAGACCCATTTGGCATTTGCTAACTTGTGTCATATCTAGTACTGACTGGCGAGATATCCAACTACCTGTTAAGGAACGATTATACTGTGCTGTAGTTCGTTCTATCGTGTTGTACGGCTGAGACAGCCCTTAAGGGTGGACATAAAGCGACTACAGGTTATTGACTATGCCTTTGGTGTATCGCTCGCGTATGGTGAAACTGCCATGTGAGTAATACAGATGTTGAGTAAAAGGTAATAGGCAAGTCAGTCGATGAGGTTGTGAACTTTTACAGACTGACTTGAACGTATGCTGCGCATGCCCAAGCACCACCTACTTTAACATGAAATGCTGTAAGTGGGATTGTGTTGGATTACGCCTCAAGGTAGCCAGACCAAGAAGTGGCACTAGTTCACAAAGTATATGACCCTAGGTATCAGACATGAGGGCTAGCTGATGGGAGTCCAAGAGCATAGGAATGAACGGTTGGAGACCCTCAATGGAATGGGTGAAGGCCGGTTACAACTGGTAGATGTATTGATTCGCCGACGTCTTCTAAAGCTGGAATCTCTTTATCTTTAAATTGTTTATCTTCCAATACACCTTTGTCTATTTTTGTATCACTCTGTATCCACTTGTTTTCGGTATGCTGCTGTGGAAGGTGGTAACTTGAACTGATGCACTCCCTTGAGATTCGATGTTGACTGTCTGTCACAAGCAAATAACCTGTATTATGTTCTCGAAATCTACAGGAAATCAGTGGTATGCACAAGACTAGTATTTAATATCTTTATGTGGAATTGTTAAAGCTATATTGCCTGATAGGCTTGTTATTTGCGTTCCTGAATATGAAGGGGTTATAATGCACAGAACCTAATCCAGATCTTACAAGAATATTTATAGTAAACACGAAATACCTGCATCATTCTACTTTACTGACAGAAGGAACAACAGAAGGTAGTAGTGCTGTTGGTTTGAGCCATGTGGGGCGATGCAGACTAGGTGGTTGTGGTCCGCGGGACAAGAGGAACCAGTGGCTGGAGACTTTGGGTGATATGGCTCAGAACCGATGTCTGGCGCAGATGTATACACACATTACGCTATAACGAACCACACCATTTTTTCATTCTTTCTTTCTTTTCGCACTCTATTTCTTTCGACTGAATTTCCTCTTCATCCACTCCACTAGTATGAGCTGTAGCAACTCGGACCGTTACACAGTAATGCCTGGTCCTATGTTGATATTGATTGGTGATGATTGTGAGTAATGTCTCAATAGCAGTAATAACACTGGTAATTTCACGTGCCAGTAAGTTACATGCTTGTGCCCTGAGCTGTAGTTAAAGCTATCAGTATTACTTAATTTCATGAATTTCAAATAAAGGAGTCAAGTTTGAACACAAAACTCAGGAAACACATTCCACATATAAAAGTATTTGAAGTCACCTGTTTTTGGGTTGGTGGTGGTGTGAGATATATTATTATCAATGATAGGCGGGGAAAATATGACACGAAAGATCTTACAGAAACGAACACAGTGGTCGACATGTTTTTTTGAGGCATCACTACGCCTCTTCCCAACCCTGTGTTAGGTGAGTTCAATCAGTAGAAAAAAAACTTCTTAATTTTGTCTTGAACCCCCTACCTCATGGTAAATAAGTAGAGAATTAGAACCAGGTAGATGTTAGTAAAAACATAACTTTAATTTTCGTTCCTAAGAAATCTCATCACAGGCCAAGAATTCGAAATCCGTCTTGCAAATGAAGCTTGAGAAAATAGGTATTATCGTTAAAGTTAACAAGGAGGAGGTAAGTAGTAGCAACCACAAACAACCAAATAACAAGCAAAAATGATATTGCCTGGTTACTGATTAGACTTAGAGTGGTGATTTATAAGATTTATCCACAACACTCATTCCATTCAGACAGTGTTCATCAGTTTCTTATGAACAGTGAGTTATTTGGATAAAGCTGCGTATCTGTAGTGGAAACATAATCCTAAGAGACAACCGTCACAAAGTGAAACCTTAGCCGGAAAAGACTTCATTGTGCAATCCGATCACAGTTGGTCTCGAAAATTTTACAAACTGATCTGGAGATGGCTATCAGTTTGGACTGATGTCATGAAACTTGATTTACAAGGCATTTGCAGAACTCCATTCCCATTTACTTCTTCTACGCTGTTGCTTGTATAAATATAAATGCAGTCGAAGGAATCTCGATAAAGCCCGGAGAATAGAATTCAGGGAATAAGTGGTTTATCAAATGAAACTACTGATCACCTCGCCACTTCGGTGGGAAGAATTCGGTTCGGCCCAATGGTTAAAATTGAGAAATTCTTTAACATTGCAGAAAACAGATTGATCTCGTTTAAAGGTGTTTTGAGGCTTCCACTTTCAATGCCGTCAAAATAAGTTGCGATGTTGCATGACTCTGATTATTTGCTTGAAGGGAGTTTTATAGGTTGCGGTTACTGTTCTCTGTATCTGCCCCACTGACAATGATTTACAATTGTGTAGGGTTCCGCACTTATGAAGTTCGAAAACTAGTATTACTCAAATGTTGCTTTAGAGGGTCATACTTCGTGAACTCAAATGTATTACTTTTAATGCAGAAAGTAGGAGTTGCTGTAAAGTGGGTTTTTGATCCATTTTACAACAGTTGTCAACAGAGACGTCAAACCACTTACATGTAAAGCACTCTCATAAAGTATCCAAACCCCTCACTATTACATAGTTCACTAAAATTTTATCAATAAGCTTTAGATGTCAGCCAGTTTTTCAGTCTTTGGTATCTAAGACTAGCTAACCTTGGTATTCCGAGCTTTCCAACATTCATAATAAATGCAGACTCGTGTTTTATGTCTCTTATAGAAAGAAAACACGACATCACGTGCAGTGTTACATAGCTACCAAGGCAAGCGATTTGACTGTTACGAATAACTATAAACTTACGGGCATATCACTATGATAAGAAAAAATACAGGCAGCCCCATTGGATGAAACCAGAATTCTTTGAACTTGACCTCTTTCCATCATAGAAACCATTTCCTGAAAAGTCACATGTCGTGGTAGTGGACTGCTACTCATTGATTGCCACACAATACAATACAAGGCAGCGGAAAACAGCAAGGCGGCCTTAACCAAGCAGTCCACCGGGTCCAAATTATTACCAGAGCGTTTACCCTTTGGAAGACCATGTGAGTTTCCTGTTAGGTTACATTATTGCAAATGTGGCTCACTTACTGAAATTTGTTAAAGAACAAAAAATGTCGTATCTGCTTTTAATTCTCACACGGTTAAATGGCCATTTGATCTGAAACGCAAAAATAACTACTGAAGAACTTATACCAGCCATGCATAAGGCCACCTTATGTGAGAAACAACTGCCTGCCTAAAGGTGCACAGTCTAAAAGCAGGACTTCTGCCAAAGTATCGACGAATGCCAAAACTGAGCAAACAATTCATAGCCCTTTGACCCAGACATCAAAAACTGCGCCACCAACATTCAATATCCAACATCAGTAGGGCCAATAGAAGAAACTTAGTTTTTGAGCTCTCGCTTCTAATTGTTGAGGCTCCGTTCTTTTGGTTTTATTGTACTCCTTTGATGGTCGCAAAAGTCTTTGTGTTTTCCTGCTTATAGATTTGGAGGCAGTGACTGTTCAATGTCTAATATCTTTTTTAACGAGCTTGTGTAAACCAGTTGATTTCTTCGCGCTCGCTTCTTGGTCTTGCAGAAAGGCTCCAGATCTTTGGCGGACTCCAATGCAGTAGGTTCAGCCACTCGTTTGCTATAGCTGTGAGTTACAGAACAGGAAGTTAAGTGTTGGTTTGTTTGTCTTGGACTGTGGTGCAGTCTGCTTCTTCAGATGTCGAGTTGCCAGACAGTTGTTTGGACTGTCGCTGGAGATGGTTGGGGATAGTGAAGAGAAAACCTAGAAGGTGTTTGTATGAGTAAACGAAGAGAGGAAGAGTGAACTAATGGAGTAATCTACCTACACCCAAGTAAGGTGAGTAGGGGTGCTAGGGTATGAAGAAGTTAGATAAGTGAGGCTAACTTTTGGCAAGTGGAAGGGGTGAAGAGGGCTTAAATGGTTACAATAGAAAGAAGACTGGTTGGGGTGGCTTGACATCCAATATCCAATATCCAATATTGATAGTGCGAGCGTAGAAAACTAGTAGTTTTTGATCTCTCGCGTCTAGTTCTTAGGGCTTGGTTCCAGTTGTTCGGTTTACTCCTGCAGTGGACGAGGAAATCCCCTCTGCTTTCTTGCTTTTAGCTTCGGTGAGGTGGATGTTTTGTGGGTTAGTAGGTTGTAATTTGTAGAGTGATTAGGGAGCTACGGGTTGCTGGGAAGTTTAGAGAACTGCCATGACTCCTGTCTGTGTAGGTACCTGGAAGAGAATAGTAAGGTAGTGGTAAAGGAATGAAGAGAGAATAAAGAAGAGAGTGAAGTAGCACCATAGAGACTCTGGGAGCTGGGTTAAGGCCGTATCGCTAACCATCCTTGCCTTTAAACAGGAGTTTGCGTAGATAGCCACTCCCCCTCCTGCTCTATGTTCCCTGTCCCTGCGGAAGAGTTCCATGCCAGCAACACGCATCTCTTCGTCGGAGATGTCCGATGAGAGCCAGGATTCGGTGATGAATATGATGTCGGAGTGCTGATGTTCACGCAGCGTCCTCATTTTTGCTACCTTCCCTATTAGCCCCCTAACGTTGCTGTACATACATATTAGAGTGTACCTGATGAGGGGGAGGTCTGGATGTGTATTTTCGCAGGATGAGCGCTTACGTGGTTGAATTTAGCCTCGCCAGTCCTCATAGGACTGGCATTGTTCCGTTTTTTTGTGTTTTGTTCTTAACTTGGGTGGGGGCTGTAGCAGTGGTGGCTTCTTTACTTGATGTATCTAACTCACTGGTCAGCGCCTGTGTGACGACCACTGACTCCAGAGGTCTTGGTGGTTGCCGTCTCTCCTCTTGCCTTGTGGGTCTAGGCTTACTTTCACATATACGTATTGAGCCACCCATGCGATCTTTCGCATTATACCATGCGTGCAGAACGTCTGTGAGGGAGGCATATGAGTCGAACTGGACGGCAAGTAGTCTGGGATTGGGTATGGTCTTCAGGTGCGCTGGCCTTGGCAGTCTACTGACGCTGTTGGCCGGTATACTGTTGAGACCAACTTTGGTTGAGAGCCATTGCCATTGTTGGACGTCGTGAAAGTACCGATCTTTGACCGAGCTGTCACTTGGCAATTCTGGAATCCCATGTACAACTATAGTGTTGTTTCTGTTGGGATTTCCAACCGCTGACTTTCTCTCCTCCTCTCTTACTGACCATGGCTTGTCAGGCCTGGCCCGAATTTTACAGGCATTAACAACGTCCGGTTGTCGCGAGAGGAGGAGTGTGTCTTCAGCCTCTTTGGCGGTATTTAGGGACACACGTAAAGGGGGGGCTTATCTCGGGGTGCATGGCTTCCTCGAGAAAGGCGACACAAAGTTGCAGGGAGGGGAGGGAGTCCCAGCATCTGACAGTAGTCGGTCCACATTCGGCTGTCAAATTGTTCCCTCTCGACCAACAATGAGTCTGTCGATACATCGACGTTGAACAAAATGATCGAGTTGGTCCTCCTGTGACCTGGGTTCGTTGTGGGTGGCACGCCCGACTTACCAATGGGTTTGAGTAATTCCACTGGTTGTTTCTCAGTCACGGTGTGTGGGGTGTTCGGAATGGGTTTCGTAGAGGCTTCGGCGGTCGATGTCTTTGGCCATGCGCTTGACGTCCCCTGGGGCCGGGTGGGGGTATGGAGACTTGACCTAATATGGTCCCCACGCGAGATGGCGTGCCCACAGCTGGAGCTCTAGGTCTGTTTCCAGGTCTCTCTGTGTTATCCTTTGGTGTTAACCCTACCTTATTCGGGGATGCTGGTAGCTTTTGCGTGGCGGAGAGCATCTCCTTCAGGCTTTCTGTGCGGAGTGCGGGCATTTTCCTGCACTCTGGACAGATGTACCAGAACCACTTGCATGGTTGTCTCTTCATCAGCTTATAGTATTGTCGGGGGACTTTGGTATCGCAGTGGCAATGCACCCATCGTTGACACAGGTTGCATGCAAATGCCTCATCGACTACCGAAACAACTTTGGTGCAAACACTGCAGCCATCGGGTGTCGTAATACAGCCTTCCTTCCATGAATAAGGTGCTACGGATTGTGGCGAACTGCTTGTGGCTGCCTTGTTCTGAAGCCTTTTACGTCGTCTTCTATGTTCAGGCATGGTATGATCCTTGCTCAAGATAGGACTAGTTTGTGACGGGCTAGTGCTACTCTGTGTCACCTGTCTGATGGCTACTGGAATTCTAGAAACATGGGTTGGCCACTTCTTCAGAAGTTCGATGTTCTGCCCTACCTCTGTTTGTCTTCTAGTACAGACTAGTGTGTTGTTTAGGGTGTTACTGGCCGTTGTTGTGCACGACCGCGTTATCCGTGTCAAAGCTTCAGACCTAGCGTTTTGGGCAGACATGTCGCTATGATATAAACTTCTTGGGAAAACAAGTAGTTAACAACAATAAGAGGGTTGAAGACTGAATGCAGGAAAAGGACAGAATAGAAAAGGGAAGATAATTTATGTTGGCTCACCTTCAGACACTTGTCACTTGATCCTCTGCTCTTGACCAACGAGTTTAACCGTAAGCTCCAGATGCGTATGTATAACCAGGAAGATATTTCCTGGGGAATGACCTCCGAGGAGAACCGAGAGCTAAGGCAGTTTGGCAGCTGAAACGCCCAAGAACCACTGACAGGAGGTAGACCGGTTGGTTCAAAGGAATAATAATGCCAATTTTCAACTGTTGAGGAGTGAGCTGACGAATGCGCAGGGGTGAGGTGCGTGGACGGACAGAAGTGCTGCAAACGTTCGATGTTTTTAGATTGAGTATTGAAAGTGGGAGTTTTTCATTGTGGAAAAATCCAAAAGCTGAGAGACGAGCGAAACACGTCACTACTCAAGGAGCGCGCCCCAATTCCATTCCCATTTACTTCTTCTACGCTGTTGCTTGTATAAATATAAATGCAGTCGAAGGAATCTCGATAAAGCCCGGAGAATAGAATTCAGGGAATAAGTGGTTTATCAAATGAAACTACTGATCACCTCGCCACTTCGGTGGGAAGAATTCGGTTCGGCCCAATGGTTAAAATTGAGAAATTCTTTAACATTGCAGAAAACAGATTGATCTCGTTTAAAGGTGTTTTGAGGCTTCCACTTTCAATGCCGTCAAAATAAGTTGCGATGTTGCATGACTCTGATTATTTGCTTGAAGGGAGTTTTATAGGTTGCGGTTACTGTTCTCTGTATCTGCCCCACTGACAATGATTTACAATTGTGTAGGGTTCCGCACTTATGAAGTTCGAAAACTAGTATTACTCAAATGTTGCTTTAGAGGGTCATACTTCGTGAACTCAAATGTATTACTTTTAATGCAGAAAGTAGGAGTTGCTGTAAAGTGGGTTTTTGATCCATTTTACAACAGTTGTCAACAGAGACGTCAAACCACTTACATGTAAAGCACTCTCATAAAGTATCCAAACCCCTCACTATTACATAGTTCACTAAAATTTTATCAATAAGCTTTAGATGTCAGCCAGTTTTTCAGTCTTTGGTATCTAAGACTAGCTAACCTTGGTATTCCGAGCTTTCCAACATTCATAATAAATGCAGACTCGTGTTTTATGTCTCTTATAGAAAGAAAACACGACATCACGTGCAGTGTTACATAGCTACCAAGGCAAGCGATTTGACTGTTACGAATAACTATAAACTTACGGGCATATCACTATGATAAGAAAAAATACAGGCAGCCCCATTGGATGAAACCAGAATTCTTTGAACTTGACCTCTTTCCATCATAGAAACCATTTCCTGAAAAGTCACATGTCGTGGTAGTGGACTGCTACTCATTGATTGCCACACAATACAATACAAGGCAGCGGAAAACAGCAAGGCGGCCTTAACCAAGCAGTCCACCGGGTCCAAATTATTACCAGAGCGTTTACCCTTTGGAAGACCATGTGAGTTTCCTGTTAGGTTACATTATTGCAAATGTGGCTCACTTACTGAAATTTGTTAAAGAACAAAAAATGTCGTATCTGCTTTTAATTCTCACACGGTTAAATGGCCATTTGATCTGAAACGCAAAAATAACTACTGAAGAACTTATACCAGCCATGCATAAGGCCACCTTATGTGAGAAACAACTGCCTGCCTAAAGGTGCACAGTCTAAAAGCAGGACTTCTGCCAAAGTATCGACGAATGCCAAAACTGAGCAAACAATTCATAGCCCTTTGACCCAGACATCAAAAACTGCGCCACCAACATTCAATATCCAACATCAGTAGGGCCAATAGAAGAAACTTAGTTTTTGAGCTCTCGCTTCTAATTGTTGAGGCTCCGTTCTTTTGGTTTTATTGTACTCCTTTGATGGTCGCAAAAGTCTTTGTGTTTTCCTGCTTATAGATTTGGAGGCAGTGACTGTTCAATGTCTAATATCTTTTTTTAACGAGCTTGTGTAAACCAGTTGATTTCTTCGCGCTCGCTTCTTGGTCTTGCAGAAAGGCTCCAGATCTTTGGCGGACTCCAATGCAGTAGGTTCAGCCACTCGTTTGCTATAGCTGTGAGTTACAGAACAGGAAGTTAAGTGTTGGTTTGTTTGTCTTGGACTGTGGTGCAGTCTGCTTCTTCAGATGTCGAGTTGCCAGACAGTTGTTTGGACTGTCGCTGGAGATGGTTGGGGATAGTGAAGAGAAAACCTAGAAGGTGTTTGTATGAGTAAACGAAGAGAGGAAGAGTGAACTAATGGAGTAATCTACCTACACCCAAGTAAGGTGAGTAGGGGTGCTAGGGTATGAAGAAGTTAGATAAGTGAGGCTAACTTTTGGCAAGTGGAAGGGGTGAAAAGGGCTTAAATGGTTACAATAGAAAGAAGACTGGTTGGGGTGGCTTGACATCACTTCGTGTTCTCGCTATGTGTGGCTAGACCGTGAGTCTCTGCATGACTGTCTAGCCTCTTCTTGAAGCTTTCAACAGTTGGGGGGAGACCACCTCTGCTGGTAGTGCGTTCCAGTACCCACAGACTCGGAGGGAGAAGAACTGTGAACGCATATGCGTTTTTGACCTCTGGTGTGCTATTCCATTGGCGGTTCCTCGAGGATCTCCGTAGTGGCCACTCGGTAGGGCTCCTCTACTTGGGTGACTTGGATTACTCATTATTTTGTAAGCCATTATTAAGTCGCCACGTATCCTTCGATAGCTAAGGGAGTATAGACCTAGGTCTTTGAGTCTATCCTCATATAGTTTTTGTTGCATTCCAACAACCCCTTTTGTGGCTCGCCTCTGGACTCTCCCCAGTAAGTTCGCGCCTCTTTTCAGCTGTGGTGGAGTGAAGACGTTATGGACCTCTAAGTGGGGCCGTATGTAGGTCTTGTAGAGCTTCAGAAAGAGTTCTGTGGTGTGGGCACCCAGTTGTCTACGCACAAAGTGTAGGACCCCACATGATTTTGAGACATCACCTGGGTAATTGGAACTGGTGTCCAGTTTCTCCGTCACCGTTAGACGCAGGTCTTTTTCTGTTATGGTGTGGGATAGACGTGAACCACAGAAATAGTAGGATGTTTTCTGGGGATCAGGAGTGCGGAAAAACATGGACCAGCACTTATCCAGATTAAATGCCAGTTCGTTATTAGTTCCCCATCCTCTGGTGTTCTGAGGTCCTTTTGTGATGCCATGGATTCCGCCTCGCAAGTTATTGCCCTCCATAACTTGACATCATCAGCGTATAGGAGAATCAAGGGGCTGATGTGTTGCGGCAAGTCATTTACGAACAGTAGGAACAACAGTGAGCCAAAGATTGCCCCTTGTGAGACACTGGACGGGGATGTTTTCCAAGTTGAGTAGACCCTGTTGACTTTCGTGCAGAACGCCCTGTTGTCTAAGTAGTTCTGCAGCCACGATGGCACCTGGCTGCGAATACCTAACCCAGCTATCTTATGTATTAGGATATGGTGTGAAACGGCGTCGAAGGCTTTGGCGAAGTCCAGAAAAATTACGTGGACTGGGACCTTGAGATCCCAGCATGCTGTCTAGTGATCATGGGCCGTCAGGAGGTTGGAGGCACAGGACCTACCCCACCCTTCCGGAAGCCATGTTGAGCGTCACTGAGTGCCCGCTTGGTGTCCAGATATTCTCTGATATGGTCGTTCATCACACTTTCCATTACTTTTGATACTACTGGTAGAAGCGCTATGGGTCTATAACAGTTGGGACCCTATCTGTCTCCACCTCTGAAGATGGGAGAAAGGATAGCCCGTTTCCACTCTCGTGGGAGCTTTCGCTCATCCAAGGAGTGTTGGAAGAGGTCTCAGAGTGGGCCGCTTAGGGTACTTGCACAGTCTTTCAACACAGATGGGCAAATGTAGTCGCACCCTGGGGATTTTCCAGCGCTTAACCTTAAAAGCTTGTCGAGAACAACAGCGCTAGTTACCTGTATTCGTGTAACTCAGTAGCATCGCGTAACTTTGGGGCTGTTCGTGCAATTGGTATGCGCACTTTCTTGATGGAATGATGAGCTGTGTGTCAAATGTGGTGCTCAGCATTTCGGCGATCTCCTGTCCAGAGAGGTTTTCTCCGTTCGGACCTTTTAGGACACATGCTCCTTGGTTTGTCAATTTTCATTCTGCCATGAATCGGCAAGGGTTTTTAGGGTTTACCTCAGGCCTTTCGGCGAGGTTGGACTGGAACAACCTCCTGTCTCCCCGTACCCTTATGTTGCTTCGATTCCGCAGAGTCATGTATGTGTCATGGTCGTCATGTTCTCTGGAGAGTCTCCATGTGTGCCATGCCCCTCTCTTGGCTTTTAGAAAGCTCTCAGTGCCCCGTTTTAGTCATGACGTTCGCTTTCTGGTTGTTGTTACCGCCAAAGGGGCGTTTTGTGAGACGGCTGCCCTAATGATATCTTTCACCAGTTCCTAGTGCTGTTCCATCTATAAGGAACACCAGTCCACTGGCTGCGAAGCTGTTGAAGGGCTCTTATTCATACCTTCGTAATTTGCCTTGTTGTAACATAGGTGAGGGCGAGGTCCCTCCTATGATATCTCTTCACTAAATACCAGGTCGAACATTGCCATAGCGTGATCGCTACCTCTAAGAGGGGTTTGACCTGAATGTTTTCAATCAGAAGGGGATCACTAGTCAGTAGGCAATCCAGTTTAGATGGTTTACCATCTGACCCCCAGCTGGTGTTGTCGCTGATTTTTTCCTGCAGTCCAGCCATTTGGATGGCGTTTAGCAGGTAACAGTCGAACCCCCGGCTCGGGGTAGTGCCACCTTTCTCTAGGTTGAGGGTTGGAACGTTGGAGTCGCCAGCCATTAAAATCTGGTCGTACTCAGAAGTGGCACCAGATGGAGTCTGGAAGACCTGTCAGTGCCATGTCAGTATTTTGTTCACTTCTGAACCACTTGTTCACGTATATTGCAGCCCCCCTCCCTCCCGATGTTCTCTGTCTCTGCTGAACAGAATCATGTCATCTATGTTAACTTCGGTGTCAGTTGCGCCTGGTGAAAACCACGTTTCTGTCAGGACCATGATTTTCGGGACTAGGTCGAGACAAAGGGATCGGAGCTCTGGCATTTTACTTCGGAGTCCTCTCACGTTGCTGTAGAGACACCTGCAGGTGTTTCTCGTAACTTGCGATGCCTCTGAGTTAACTAGTGGCACTGGTTCGGATGTGGGGGTTCCAGTGGAACTGGCCCAGATAAGTTTTTTCTCCCGTCGACTGGTGCATTCGGTGTTGAGTGAAGGTTGCTGGTCTGACCCTCAAAGTTTCGGTTTAGGGTTACGGTGGACTGAGCACAGGGCGTAACTGCTGTCTGTTGTTGTCGCAGCGTTCCCGGTCTGCTTTCACAGCAGCGAACGTTACCGCTTATGGTGCTCTTGACTTTGTACCACGTCCCCGACAAGATCAATCAACCGTTTGCAAGTCTTGTTGTTGTAAGTACCTAGAGGTAAATGTTAAACGTTGCCTAAAAAGTGATAGAAACGGGGTGAGTAGGGAATGAGAAAGGAGTGAAAAGTACCTGTGAAAAGATAGACGTAGCTAATTGTATGTGGAAGACAGATGCGTCAGACCCTCCAGTGGAACATAGATGGGAAGCGACGAGTTGGGTGCCTGACCGAGGATGACATGGAGGAGATCGTGTGAAGAGGAAATGAGAAGTTGTTGACTGTCGTGGAGCCAGGTCGAAGAGATTGCACAGAATAGAGTGCAGCGGAGGCGTGCTACTGAAGCCCTGTGTTCCATTAGGAGCCTAAGGAACGAGTAAATAAATAATTAATTAGCAGGGGGGGCTATCATGTTGACCACCAATAGGTGCCATCTAAAATATGTTCTAAATACCATAGGGAATAATTCGGGGGTTAACGGTCCAAGCTGCTCTCTTAGAAAGTGCATGATGCCGTTCGTCTCTGCTGACATTCCCTTATAGTTGACACTAGTATCTGGTGTGTCAGAGAAGTCTAGTCCTCGGTCCTTCTTTGCGAATACCCTGGTGCTCCTATGCCTGTTGAGGGTGGAGCTGGTTTTCATCGCCTCTGGAGTGCGAGGATGCATCAACTTGCATTTCTCCAACTTAAAGCTTGCACCATTTGCAGATAACCAAGACCCCAGCTGCGACAGGTCGTGAAGGAGTATCCTAGGCTACTCTTCATCACATATCGTCTTCCATATTCTAGTGTCGTCGGCGGATAGAAAGATAGATAGGGAGATTTTAATGATGGTTCACTTATGAGTAGCAAAAATAGAAGTGGCCCTAGGATCGCTTTTTGAGAAACTACCGTTCTAGCATTACTCCAGGTTAACTGAATTCCGTTTACTTTAGTACTTTAGTTAGTCGTTCCGTGATGCTCAGACTTGTAAGTTTAGAGAAGTTTTTCCTTTGTTAGGTGTCAGTAGTAAGAGGAATTGCACTGATATGTAAACCATGGACTGACGTTTAGTATGTGACTAAAGCGACAAGAAAGGGGGAGGTTGTCTTAAGTAACTCCTGAATACTCTCAGTGTATTCACATCGGAAGACATGGTCTTTTTTTTAATTATATGACTTCCTGACGGTCACTACACTACGGAAATGTTACAGGGCTTTGGGAATGTATTTATGGAGCACCTGATACCTTTATTAAGTGTGAGATTCCACTAATTACAGCACTAGAATATGCATCCACTCTGCCGTATGCTCACAAGATTATCTCCGATGAATTTATCCGAAGTGCAGTTCCATCGGATTC